TTTAGGGAGGCTTTTATGGGTTTTTAATAACCATGTTAATTATACACTGTTCCTTTCTCTTGGTTTTTTTAAAAGCTGAAACTATAGAAGAAAAGCCAGCAGACTCCTTGCAAGATTTGTACAGAGCCTTGGAACAGGCCAGTCTGTCGCCTTTAGGAAAATATCGGATTTCCACCAAGCTAGAGTACAAGAAGTCTTTTTTAAAAAGATGTAGTGATCCAATAGTCAATGAAAAACTGCATCAACTGCGAATTCTGAAAAGCACTTTAAAGGTGAGAGAATAGAGGGTGGGGAAATACCATCAAAAAGTTGGATCTTCTCCTACTGAATTCAAAAATTAACTGTACTCAGCTGGAGGGCAGTCTGAATCTTTTGTCTAAAAAGAACAAAAGAAAGTCATGGCAAAATACTGTTCTCCAAACTAAGGAAAAGTTTCTTGTGGGGAAGAGGGATTGTTTTCTGCATGATTTAAAGATTTAAGAAAGAAATGGCAGTAATGACAGATACAACCCCTACATTTAGAACAGAGCATTTATAATTTGAAGTTTTAACATGCTTGTCTGGCCCTTTGAACATCACAGTGCATGCAATTCCAGATCACATCAGGAATGTTCCTTTAAAGCACAGCAATCAATAGACACTCCTATGCTAGATCTTCCTTAAGGTCCCGTTATCTTTATTCAATTTAACTTACTACAGTTGAAGCCACCAGATACTAAATACACCGGCCTTTCGTAGCAGCTTTCATCTGAGTGCGCTTTACCAACATTAATAAATTAAATCTTCCAACCCCCCTGAGAGGCACTTACAGAGTATTATCTCCATTCCATATGGCCCCAGTCCTGCAAACATTTGCACAGATGCTTAACTTTACTCATAGTGAGTGCAATCCCACTGAAGACAATAGCACTACTTATACTATTTATGGTTAAGCATATGTGTAACGCTTTGCAGGGTCAGGATTTAGAAGGGGAAAGTAAGGCTTTCCAGTGGCTCTCCCAAAATCTCACACAGGAAATTTGGGAAAGAGCCAGAAACAGAACTAAGGTCTTTCTCCTTCTTAAATCACAAGGCAGTCCTTCCTCCGGGAAGGTATAAGATCACTGACTAGTAGTGAGGAGGTGCAGAATACTCATGATTTTTCGTATGGCACCAGGGAAGCACAGTGTGGTACTCTAACCACAGATCTGGAAAGCAGGAATTCCCCTGTTCTAATCTCAACTCTTGCCTCCGTTTCCCTATCTCAAGAATGAATATGTAGCTACTTTGGGGAACATTGATATGCTATAATTTGCAAAGCACACTGAACAAGAAGAGTGCTTTATACATGTCAATGGTGTTTTAAATGTACTACCTCTTGCTAACATGACTCTTCAAAGTATATCAAGCCAAAGACTGAGCAGGTCAATTTTTTAACTACACCCATCAGCCTCACCAGAATATAGGAAGAAAGCTTTAGCATATGTATAGAGTTATCGAGGAACAGATAAATTAGCAGTGGGGACCATGAGGATTCCTGGAGGAAGAAGGCGTTGATGGACAAATCACTACTATCAAGAAGGCCTCATGCTGTAAACCTGGGTTCTAATTATATTATTAAAGTTTGATGTGGTTGCATCCAGTTGTCCTGGCTTGCAGCAGAGTAGAGCAACTGCAAGGAAGCCTGGAGCCTGCTCTGATCTACAGCTGCTGGCTCTGGCCCCTCCAGAGACCTTCCCCAGCCACGCTTGTTGGAGCACAGCCCAGCCCAGCCCCGCCCCGCCCCGCCCCTTCTTCCAGTGTGCACTCCAGACAGCAGGGGAGTAGGTACAAGTGGGCTAATCTGGCCTTGAACTTGCAGAGGAGATCCGGCAGGGTTCTGACCCCTTTGGGAATGTCTACATGGCAACTGGGAGGTGTGATTCCCAAAGCCAGTAGACAGCCTGATGCTAGCTCAGCTCGAACTAGCATGCTAAAATTAGCTGTGTGGATGCTGTGGCTTGGTCTAGCTGCCAAAGGCCAAGCTTGCCTGAACTCCTGGGTCTGAGTCAGGCAGCTAGCCTGAGCCACCTCCGGAGGTGCAATATCTCCATTGCTATCTTTAGCGTGCTAGCTCATCTCAAGCTGTTGCAAGCCTTGTCTACTTGTGCTGCGAATCAGAGTTATCATTTCCTTTATGGTGGCAGGAAGTTGCACTGGGCCAGAGTATCAGGCCTACTGTGTGTATTTATAATCTTTAATGAAGAATAGTTATCTATTTAAAACATCAGTGCTTAGTTTTTTGCATGTAGTGCTCAGATGCCACAGTGAAGAACTCAGCTGAAAGGCCTCCCTATACTGGTGGATAACAAGCCGTCTGTTTGCATCCCACACCCAAACATGAAATCAAGAAAAGTCAACAGATGGCACTTTGCAGTGTGAAACATTTTCTTAGAAACTAAAGCAGCTAACAGTAAATAGAAAGGGGGCTGTTATTACATAACAGATCTAAGGGTAATGAGAAGGGAAACCCTGCAACTCAAGTGATGCCAACACCCTGAGCCATGGATAGCATCATTTTTAAGTAGACCTCAAGAGGCTTAAAATCAATGACACACTGTGCCCCCGTTTTTCCAATACCTTTATGTCTTGTTGCCCTTTTTGTTAAGTTGTTCAGCATTTATGAGATGCTCTTGTTAGTCAATTATCCCTCTCTGTTCTTTGTTCTTTTACAGGCCAGAGAAGGAGAGGTAGCCATTATAGATAAGATTCTCAATAATCCAGATTTGACCTCTAAAGACTTTCAAGAATGGAAACAAATGTACCTTGATCTCTTCTTGGATATCTGTCAAAACAGTAACCCAGGGGACCCTATAAATGGCTCTTCTGAAGTAGATGCACTTATAGCCTCTTTAGCACACACCCATTCGTACATTGAAACGCACGTATAAATGTTTTCTCTTTAGTCAATTTACTACATTCCAATCTTTTACTCAGTGCATAAAGTTGTTTTTCTATCAATACGTGGGAGGTCTGGTAAATTATATTTTAATGTTACTCAGCTGTGTGACGTAAACCTTACATGGTCGACAATCCCATTGACTTTAATGGGAATTTGTATATTTTTATGCTTACAATGCTCAGCTTGTGTTTAGCTTGTGCAAAACAAATGAACATGGTTTTTAATAAATAAAAATATATTTTAAAAAATACATTTTGGATCAAGGTGAAACCTTTACAAGATCAAGGTTTTGTGACCGAAGATCACATGATCTCTTTAAAAATGTAATTTTATACTATATAATTCCAGTATTGCATTACATTTTTGGAGTTCCAGTATTATTTTATTGTGCAGAAAATAAAACTTTTTTTATATTAAATGAAAAACTCTAGGAATTTTCTTAACTGACAGACAAAAGGGAAATGCATTATCTCTCAGTTTTGATGAAAACAGAAAAGCTTTAGATAAATGGATAAGAATAAATAGAAATAATTACCAACACAAGTTCAAGTATCAAAACTTCAGGTATTATTTGTCAAATACTTTTTTGTAAGAGATCTATGGTACAGCTTTATCATCAGTGCAAATGAGTTTCTTTGTTTGTGTTTTAATTAAGACCAAATTGTATCTTATCCCCCCTTCATTTTATTGTTGGTTTATTATTAATAATAATGTGATTGTTCTTGCACTGATGGTATCAGGATTGTTTGCAGCTTTTTGCAATAACAGCAATCAGACTTTGATCATGCTTATTAAAGATGTTTAACTCATCCAAAAAAATAGCTAAAGCAAAGGATTCCAACTTAATGATTTCAAACTGTAGCATGCTAGAGAGGGAGTAAATAGGATTTTTCAGCTAATCTCCTACTTGTTTTCTAACCTGTTCAATTCATCATTTTGTATGCAGGAAAAATGTGATATTAACAAGGTCAAGAATATACTGTAATTTGAAAACCTGGTGAGAACTAAAAAGCCTCTCTTTTGCTTTCAAAAAGGGAAGGATGTCTACAAATTCTGTTGAGTTCACAACCAAATAAAATATTTTAATCTTACATAAGGTTTCAGCTACATGGGAAATAATTCAGGGAAGAGGAGTGAAGCATGTACTTAGACTTATGCACAAGCCCCGAAATGGGCACTGAGGAGGGAAATCCTAAATCGTGTATTTATCTTTTACCAGCTTAATGTTTATGAAAAGTGAACAGAGTATGACAAAATATTTATGCTGCTTTTTAATGTTTTGCTGCATAAGTTAAGAGTCATGACATGGTTTGATAATACTCATAACAAATGGAAAAGCCCCTCTTAGTAGTCCTTACCATAAGTTGTTCACTGAACCAGCTTTAGACCGTTGCCTGTCGAGCTCAGTGAATGTAATTAAATTTTAAGAGCTCGGATGTTTACTGGTAGTTAGCTTTGTTATTGGGATGAAGGCAAGAAAGGAGAAGTGTCTCTCCATTTATTGGTTTTGAAGTTTTTTTAATTGCATTTTGGATTGTAGATGTTTTGCAGATTTTGCACAATTGTACAGAGGTGTGGCCTTTTGCAGCCCATTTGAAATAACTCTAATTCAAGTCAACATGGCTGTCGAATCATATATTCATGTTTGTATGGAATTCTGGATCCAGTGTAATATTTGTATCATTTAGAAGAATCTGTTTGTATAAACTGGACATTTATTTACTGCATGAATACTGACTTGTATATTAAATTTGTGAAGTTTTGTATATTTCTCATAACAAAAATGCTTGACCTGAAATGAATTGTACTATTGTTCCAAGCATTTACACTCTTGTTATTGTTTTACTGGACCAAAAGTAAATATATTCATATAAAAATTCTTTATATCTGATGGATGTATATGCACATCACGTAGCTGATTCTTCGCTGAAACTAAGGCAGTTTAGATGATGTGGATCTGTTGCTATGCAACAGCTATTCTGCCAGCACTTTACTTTAGAAAAGTCAGCTTGATTGCTGGAAAGGTGAAAATTAAATATTACAATTTAAGATAGTCGAGCATGAAAAACAGGAGAACATTTGTCCTATTTGTTGTGCTACCTTCTCTCAAGGCAACACTAAATGCTCTTTGACAGATATATTTTTACTATATTAACTTTCAGGCTAGAAAGGGAACAGTGCAAAATAAGTAAAATAAATGTAGCTTTTAAATGAATCTTTATGAAATTTGTTTTGAGTAAATTAAATTTTTAATCACGCTCTGGAATCTAGTCACATAACTTCATTTTACATGCCCAAGTGCTTTAAAATGTCCTCCCAATCCATTCCCTATTACTCTGTCAGCATTGCCAGCATAAAGTGAGGCAATTGCTTTCTCTGGTACAGCCACTTAATACAGAATTTCAAAAAGAGTCAAGTTAACTTTCTTTCCTTATTAGTCCTTAACAGAAATCAAGCTTTTATTACTTCCTTTCCCTCTCATGTATTGGTTCAACAGTTAAAAAGAATTTCATCTTCAACATGATCATCATTATCCAGCAGGACACAGGATGTACTCACTTAGGAAGCGGAATATAGCAACAATTGTTGCATGTTCCGCTGTACCTTTAAATAAGTATACCCATTCAGAACTGGCTGCCTCAGTTTTGATACTGCAAATATGTACTATGAAAATACTGTGCACACTTTAAAACCCCACTCTGATGGGCATGCCATAACAAAAGCTATTTTACAGAAAGGTCGCTCCCCTCTGGTTTGCTTCCTATATCAAGCAATCAATTGGTTAATATATAACCATAATTAAGGCTACATTTTATCCAATCCCTCTTCTCAATGCAGTAATTTCTTACTGATTAGCACTCTCACTTAGCTATTTACTCAAATAATACTATCCTCTAAGTGTTACTTATTAAAGCTGTTGCAGGCAATAATTTTCTGATCTTTAAATATTTCACATTCATTTTGCTTTGCTTAGCTTTAGTAGAAAATTCAATACCACCTACCATCTGGGAAAATGACCTTTAATTAAAAAAATAGAGGGATTACATTTTTAACCCTTGGAAAATCTGACTTTAGATTGATGATAAATGTTTCCAAAGGACAGCATTGGCACTCCTCTACATTGTCCTTGCAGGATGGGCTACTTGCCCCATCTGTCATTGGCAAATACCTGTCTTCGCTTGTACAGGTCACAGCATCTTCCTCTCATGGAAATGCCAGGTATCCTATTCATAAGCGCTGTGTGGGGTGCTTTCTAAAGCAAAACCTCAACTCTGTTGTGGTTAGTGCAGTTGCAGATGTCTTTTTTCCTCTGGGGCAGCCCCTGCTGTACTGTCTCTAAGGGTGAGTTAACGAAAGCGTTGACTCAGCAGTTTGACAGGAGTATTATTGGATGTCCTTCATTTCTGGCAATTCTGACAGTTGTAGCACAGCACACTGCAATCCATACCAAGGTAAAGGAAGCTTGCAAATCTCTTCCCAGCAGTCGTTGTCAATGTCATAACCCACCACATCTTGGGTTGGGACCTCCTGTGAGTCTTGCCATTTTTTTCCCCCAATGAGAAGTGCTGTTTCCTCCACCACAGCCAGACCATAGCAAAACCGGTCATAGACCAGTGGCTTTAAACGAGTCCACTGGTTTGGGATGGGGTCATATCTTTCTATCTCAGAGAATGGCTCATAAAGTCCTAAAAATGTGTAGATGGCTTCTCTGATCGTTGCCATGTGGTGCCCAAATCGAGCAATGCTCATGGAGGCTTGCTTTATCCACTGCCCTTCTATGCTGCTCAAAGAGTACACATCCTTACTTGTGTTGGTTTGAGCGGTGTATTTGCCACCTGAGATGTAGATCGTGTTCTTGCAAACCGTGCTGGCCTGGCCATGCATCTTGCACGGCAATTCTGTAGCCTTTGTCCATCTATCTCTGCTAATGTTATAGACTTCAACAGATGAATGCAGCGACCCATTCTCACCTCTACCACCAATTGCAAAAATGTTGTTGTCTAAGATGCAGCAAGAAAATTGGCATCTCTTTTCAAGCATTTCTGTGGTTTGTGTCCATTTGTTAAATCTTGGATCATAACGATGGACCTTGTTTGTAACTGAGAATCTGGTGCTTTTCCTGTCACTTTGCAAATCTTCGATTTCCCCACCCAGCACATATAGGTAATTTCCAATCACACACATGCAGTGGTTCTGTACTCTGTCCTGCACCTGCGTTAGAGTTCTCCATTTGTGATTGTAAACATCAAAGGCCATCACATCACTGACCAGCCCCTCACTTGCCGTTCCTCCTCCTACTAGGATAATGCGTGTTTTCTGGTTTCTCAGGGTGCTATACTTATCCTGCAGAATGGGTTGTTTAAAAACTAGCGAATGGTAGTTTATTGCTTTTATGATCAAGCATTTAATAGGTGTCGTGAGAGAAACATCGGCCTGTGTGTAGACCTTTCTCAGATCTTCCACGGGGATGAGACCAAATCTTATATGTTCTAAAAGGTTGCTTGTGAGAGTCAACCTGGACTTATCATGCTTCAGCCACATGAGCACGAGGTCCAGCAAACAGGATTCCTTCACCATAGGGACATCAGATGATTCAACCACTGCCATCAGCGATCTGAAGTTCAATAAGAGCAGCTCCATGAAATGCAAATCCAAAAGTTTCCAGAGATTACTAATGATGTATTTTCCTGTCACTGACAGTGCATCTGGAAGATAGAACTTTGTGGCAATGTTGGCAGAAAAACAGCAGTTTTCCAGGGTAAGGTTGTTAACCAAGTACTGATTGCACAGGTCAATAGCCTCAGTCACTTGCAAGTAACTGGCAGCTTCCAGAGTGTCCTCCAGATTCTCAAAAGAAAGGGGCAACCAGGAGGTATAAATGAAATCCAGGACATGCTGGAGACCAGTGGGTGAGATGACTTGCAGGTGAATGACACTGGCTTTGGATTCTTTTGTATAGCTTTTGAACATAGCCCTGAAATAATCACTGGAACAGGCCAGCAGAGACTTGTGTGCAGGAAACTCATTTTCCTTCACCTTCAGTAAAATATCACACATCAAGCCTTCAGCTCTAAGCATTTGGTACTGGGAGAGCACAGTATTGCAGTGTGCTTTGCAGTAGGCCAGGAAATAACTCATGGTGCATAATACGATGCTTTAAGCTAATTTATTACAATTAAAATGCAACTACTGGTTAAAACAGTTGCACGAATCACCTTGTAGGTTCCTTTGTAAGAATGCCCATCAGAGCCTCCAGCTCTTAAAGAAAAACCCAGCAGAAAAAAATCAGGCCCTTTCCCAGCCTAGCAGGCTATCTTAGTGCACTTGCAGTGAATTAAATGCATTCGTTCAATGAGGAAACAGCCGAATCTAGTATCAGCCTCGGGATGCTTACTTTTCTCGCTTCCCTTTCATGCAGGAGGATGGAAGGTCCACAGCTGCGGAGAACTACTGCTTGGCTGGCCATCATGTGACAGAGGTGGGAGCTAGATGACAGCTTTTACAAGAGGAATTTTTTGTCGGCTCAGACGTCTCTAACACTCCTTCTTCCTCTGCAGGCTGATTAAATAGATCTTCGGTGGCTGCCAGTGCATGGCATTGAGCAGGAACAGATGGGGAGGGGGGGGGGAAAAGCGATGAGGAGAACTTTTGCCGTTGCTTTTTCTGTCTGAGCCTTGTTTGTATTTCAAACTTAGATAAGTTTAGATCGCACTGACGATGGGACAACAGACCGCTTTTGGTGCTCTTCTCTCACTGTGATAGGACATCTGGGCTGAAGATCAAATCAGTATCCAGGGATTAGAGCAAAAGGGCTTTCTGAACATATAAATCTTGTGCCTGCAGGGAGAAAGAGAGGCAAAATACCGTGATTAGTCACTGGTTTAATTTGACATGCATTTCTGAGCCCTTTGGTTTAAATGGTATCACAGTAACTCACACCTACCAGAATAGAATGCAAACACAAGCTCCGTGTCATAGCTGTCCGAAAGCTGAATTCGGCTGGGGAGAATGATAGGGAGGGGGAAGAATCTAGTAGTTTTATGAACAGATCTGAGCCAAAGCATCTGTCATTGAATGACCTGAATGGAAATCACGAGAGTAACACATTTGTGTGAAGTGGTGACAAAAATAGATCCCACGTTATGTCATAGTAAACTGAACTCTGTTTATAGAGGAGAATTGGCATCTATTACCAGCTAGAAACAATCCCCCCTGAAGTCCAGTGGATAGTCTATAGCTAACTATATTAGCTTTTCCACTTTGAGTTTGTTCTAATTAAGTACAAATGAAGGATTATCTGATTTCTCACCTAAGCTTTCTGGGATCCAATTCCTACTGGGAAAGGAGGTGTGGATAAGCTACATATCTTGGTCTCTTGAGACTTTAATTTTCTTTGAGTAACCCTGAGTGGAGGCTCTGAAATACTGGACTGACAACAAGCAGGCACCTCCTTTTCACACTCTTCCTTCCAAAACACTCCAGGCTTACAAAGTGACAAAGTTGAGCATCCAGCTGCCTCATGGAACAACAGTCTCTGGAGCTGTCCTTTGCTGTCATCCACAGGTAAAGTTGCTCAGCATCTGAGTGGCTTATATGCTATAATTTCTATTCATCCTCTGTGGAATCCCACATCTGATTGCAGTGTGTCATTTTCTTGGTGGGTTTGTTTTCACATTGTTACCTTAGTGCTAGGTAAAACCTCCATAATGGGAATGAAGATGATTACCAGCTGCAGTCAAAACTGCAGAATCTGAGTGACTTAATCAAGCATCAGAATTATAGAGTGCATGTTCATTGCTATAGTTCATTTTAGTGATGATTTTCCTGCATAGAGCCATTTTCTGTCAATGTATAAGAGATCATAAATCAGGATCTTGTTGAAATAATAATCTGTGATGCTAACTAGATGAAATGAACACAGACTCATCAGGGAGTAAGAAAGCTAGTTTTTCTTATATAAACACCTCATGTCCAAGAGAGGAAATGTTAAAACATTTTAAGAGGAAATTAAACAATATTCCATGATTTTGTTCAAGCAATCCAACTGGTCTGTTGCCTTTCTTTTTTTTTTAACTCACTAAAGAGAAAATGGTTTCCCACTGCCACCAGCCTTGTGCAGTCAGTCACACCTGTGGGTGTCAGAGTGGGTGTTAAATGCTACGTGCCTGCATGTTGACACTCCCTTTTCTTTTGTTGTGTACACGCTGTAGATGACACACTGGTGCAATCAGACCTAAGCTGTTTAAAAGACTCTCAAAACTGTATCTGATCCATTGTGTTACTGTAATCAGGAGAGATGTGAATGCAGCTGAACAGAATGGCCCAGATTCTACACTCAGGTGTCCTCTATATACAATGGTGGTACTGGTTTAACTCAAATCAGTAAGTGGGGCCTGGTCAACACTCAGGGTCACACCAGCTTAACTATAAGAATAACGTTAACCTACTTAGTTCAATTGGTGCCGCTTTCTGTGTTCACACTCTAACGTGAATGCTGACTGGCTTATATTAGTTTACTTTACATTTTAAATTATAGGTGTAGTAATACCTACTGTAGAAACATATCTTAGAAGAAACAAAATATAGGACTATGTAGCACTTTAAAGACTAACAAGATGGTTTATTAGATGATGAGCTTTCGTGGGCCAGACCCACTTCCTCAGATCAAATAGTGGAAGAAAATAGTCACAGCTATATATACCAAAGGATACAATTTAAAAAAATGAACACATATGAAAAGGACAAATCACATTTCAGAACAGAAGGGAGATGCGGGGGGGGGGGGGGGGAGGAAGGTGAATGCCAGTGAGTTAATGATATTAGAGGTGGGGAAGGGTAGATGTCTGTGAGTTAATAGTATTAGAGGTGATAATTGGGGAAGCTATCTTTGTAATGGGTAAGATAGCTGGGGCCTTTGTTCAGCCCCCTGCGGAGAGTGTCGAATTTTAGCATGAATGCCAGTTCAGAGGATTCCCTTTCAAGTGCAGATTTGAATGTCTTCTGAAGTAGGATGCAGGTGAGTAGGTCATTGAGACAGTGTCCTTTCTGGTTGAAATGGCAAGCAACACCAGACTAACACGGCCACATTTCTATCACCATATCTTAGAAGGGTAGCTATGTTCATCTAAATCTGAAAAAAACCAACGAGGAGTCCTGTGGCACCTTAAAGACTAACACATTTATTTGGGCATAAGGTTTCATGAATAAAAAATCACTCCTTCCATCTGACAATGTGGTTTTTATTCATAAACCAAATAAGTCCATTAGTCTTTAAGTTGCCACAGGACTCCTTGTTGTTTTTGTAAATACCTAGTGTAAATTACAGATGAAGACTAAACTGATGTATGCTGATTTTCAGCTGATGTGTCCACACACCTCAGTGTGTGCCAGTTTACTAACTCCATTTAGCACCATACCGACAAGTCATGTAATGCCTGCATGTAGACAAACTCTGACATGAGCTAAATTGATATATGCCAATTGTAAATGTACTGATATGTGTCTGCATGGGTTTAACTAAACTGATTTAAAACCAATTTCAGCTAAGCTCTTGCAACCATCACATTCAGAGCAGTCCTCAGTTTTGCCTGTGTACATCTGAAGTGAATGAAAGCAGAATTTGGTTCATTTTAATGGCCACTTAGCTGGTAGAAATATTTGTCTGGGGCATTTACTTGTCTGACAGGTCACTTAAATTAATCACAGAAAGAACTAAACACTGGGGTGTATATTTTTTAACAAGGAGGTGAAATAAAATACAATCCTTTCTTGAGTCCTACTCCACAGTGTAATGGCATAAGCACAATGTCCTCATGGGAAACTGAAGGTTTTTTGGCTAAATATAATAAGAAAGGTTATTTTTCATTTCAAAGGAATTTATCTTACTCATTGGTTTGAAGATCAAGCCCAATACTTTTACTTGACTCGCTAGATATCCTTTAAAGTTAGGTTAAAATTGATATTTCAGTTATGTATAATTTGTTTGGGAAACCACTTTTTTTAACTACATGCATAAGATTTCATTAATCTACTTGGCAAAGACTTTTAGCATATTTTCTATCTAAAATGGAGATGGTCTGGAATAAAACTATATTATACAGAAGTTCCTAAAAGCCTTTCATACCTTGGAAATGCCAGAGGAGAATTGGTTGTGAAAAACTGCTGGCTTTCATTTTTACAGTTTTTTCCTATTGAAAAGCTGGGAAATATCATACATTGCAAGACTTTATCCAATGTCATCTGGTAACTTAAAGAGACAACCAGTTAGCAACGATTTCGGTCACCTTTACAAATGTTCCCATTATTTTTTAAGGAAAGGGCACAGAAAAGAGAAAAAACAGTGTACAAATTTACACAATTCAAACTGGGGTCATCAATAACAACATTACAAAAAGATGTCGTGGGCAGAATTTTAGCTATAAAATATTACCTAGGAAATTGGCCTATTGCCATGATACCTTAGAATTCAAAAGGTCTTACACTGACTCTACCAAAACAGAAGGAAAAAAATACAGGCAGTCCCCGGGTTACGTACAAGATAGGGACTGTAGGTTTGTTCTTAAGTTGAATTTGTATGTAAGTCGGAACTGGTACATATTGTAGGGGAAACTCTAGCCAAACATTTCTCCAGAGCTCAGTTTTATTCTCCCACGCCTCACTTCCCTCAGTCCTTTATTCTCAAGCTGAGGTGTCTGCTGAGAAAAGCCGCTCTGCGTCTCCCTGGTCTGCTGGGGGGAAGCAGCTAGTGCGGGGTTGCCTCACCCCGTTTGTAAGTAGGGATCTGATGTAAGTCGGATCCATGTAACCCGGGGACTGCCTGTATGCTAATATTTGAGCTACACACAAATGATCTCATCACTTTAATCAGTTTTAGTTGCAACCAAGTAGTCCAGCTTGTGAAGTAATTTCTCATGTTCTTCCCCTTCTGTGTTTTTTTTTTTTGTTTTTTTTTTTTTGTCTGTTTGTCCTTTGTTTGTCTCCCTGGAGGATGTGTTTAAGTAGTGTGTTTATTGCTCCTGCAGTGGATTCAATATGTGTTTGTCATTGAATAAAAAGCAAATTGGGACCGTTTTTAAATAAGGTTTCCGTTTCAGAGTGATTGTTCTGGGATGTCAATATTTGGGCTGTTGCTAGCACATGAACTACTAAAGAATAATGAGGTCAAAAAGCTGGAAAACAATGTGTAGAATATTTGATAAAGACACCTACTATAATTTCCTCCTTGGATCATCAAAAGGAAGGAGGTGGCAGTTATGCTTTCTTCCAGGAGCTCAACTGGGGAAAAAAGTTTTCCCTTGGACTCTGGTGCTCAGAGTGGCCTCATGAGCCCAGGCTGCCCAGGAGCTGCCCTGAATCAGTATGCCTGCTCCCACCCCCGGCCCCAGCTAGCCTCCTCTTCAGTCTATGCTACCCGCTTTGGAGGCTGTGCTGTGGTTCTTGCAGGCTGGGAATTGCATGCTTCAGATGGATGTTCCAGCACTGAGGGTCCTGCACCCTGGGTCTAGCCATCTTCTGGACTGAGTCAGAACAGAAGGTTTGCAACTGACTTAGCAGAAACCAAATTGGGTCCTAAATTAAGGCTTTACTTCTTGTCCACTTCTGACCAGAAAGCAGAAATGCCAGACTACACCGAGACTGACAACTGACAATTCCTGTTTCCTGGGCTAGACCATGTGTTACTATTCGTTCCTATCCCTGGGCCAGGCTTTTCCCCATTCCCAACACAGACCTGTTTCTTTTGGGGAGTGAGGGGTAATTGTCTTCAAACCAGCTTGTAGACAAGCAGAAAAGAGACTTTTAACTTATTCCTGTTCTCTCAGGGTTCAGTGCCACCCCTCCTAGGGGACTCTGTTACTCTTGCTCCTGGCAGGTTCCCAGGGTTGGTCAGCTTGGCTATTACCTTGAGCATCTGGCTCCTTGCTCCAGAGACCCATCACCAGTGTCCATAGTCTCAGAGAACATATGGGTAGGAAGAGACGTCAGAAGATCATGTTGTTCAACCTCCTGCTCAAAACAGGACCAATCCCAACATTCGTTTCCAGGGGTGAGGAGGAACACTGGGGGCACTGGCCATGTGACCCCCCCACGTGACTCCTGACCATGCCACCCCTAGCTCTGGTGAGGGCCAGGACAACAGCCTTCTCTGCCCTAGACACCTTCCAGAAACACCACTCAGGGAGCTAGAGGGGGGCTACACACATTCACCAGCAGCATTGGGAGCCAGGGAAGAGGAGTGACATGGCTGCAGGCCCCTAGCTATTGGCCATGTTGTTCCCCTTCCTGCTGGTGAGGGAGGGGGCAGTCCCTCCCTTGAGCAATGGGAGAAAAGACCAGCACCACGTCACTCCACTTCCTGCCTCCCTCTGTTGCCGATGAGTGGGTGGGGGGCCCTGAGCAACTGTAGCCCAGCTCTCTCTAATAGATTGGCTTAACTCATCTGCTCTGGTCTAGGGTGCTGGCTTCAATCTGTCCATGGGGAGCAGCTACCCTAAAACAAACCTATAGGAGCTTGCTAAGGACAACACCAGTTGGCTGTCAGATGAATGTAAGGAATAGGTTTAAAA